CTGTGTTAAGGCTTATGGTCTGCGGCGTGTATGTATGTTATGATAGCTAGTCGTCGATACATACAATTGTTCAATTTCTATGGCAGATTCAATAAAGTTCATTTTATGAATGAGTTCGCAAGGAACTGTTAGAACTGTTTAGGATGTGCTGCAGTTCAAAAGTTTCTATCTCAGTTAGGTTTTTACGATCACGTGACGTTCTCTCAATGCTTGTGGCATTGTGAATACATTTGTATATGTTTGTGACTCCAGAATTAGTTTAAATTTATTTAAACTTAGCAAGATTCATTTCTAGTGTTCATTCCTGGTTCCATGTCAGGCAGGAGACTCTAATCTTCTCTCAATATTAGAGTTTTTCCTTGATTTTCCAACAAATTAATATATAAACATTGTGATATGCAATTTATATATATAATCCATATTCCCAAAACCGAAAAGAGCCTTAAAAAACAAATTTCATTGGACATATAGAGTATATAGATTCATAAATACATTTTAAAATTTTCCTTATTGGCATTTCTCTAGACCTGCGGTTTTCCTATGATTTGCATTTGAAATTCACTTGTTTATCGCCTTGGTAATCAAAGTGCGTTATTTTGAAACTATACTTATGTAGTGCAACTTAATGTAATAATAAATGAAGTTCACTATGATGGCCCACCAGAACATGGTGTGGCATATTGCAATCTTTAAGGCATAGCAATAAAATTGTCGTAGCTAAATTACTTTACCGTTAACTTTCTTTGTTTTTAATATGCTTTGTAAGTTCTTTGTTTGTTCAGTTTGTTCAATTAATTATCTTTGTTATAACGCGTGAAAACTTGAAACGCGATAAAAGTGAGTGCTGCTAATAAGGTAAAAGGACACCTCGAGTTATGTTTTGCAGTAATACCGTTAGTATAAATAGATGTCAATAATTAATTCTAACAGATAGCGTAGATATCCTACAGTGATGTATCGTACTTGTAGCTTGTACAATAAATAAAATGTTTAAGACGAACAGCGTTAGTGAACTAGCTAAGGAGCGGACCCATCCATACATGGCAAATAAATGTTTATTCATTGCGAAGACTCTCTTGGAGCACTCACAATTTTCGCAGAAGTTTCATTTATAATATTTCTTCAATTACGTAAGCAATGGTTAAAACTGGACGGTTGTCAAAATAATATAGGTCTGAGTACAGCTAGAATTATTTGCTTAGAAGAGGAAGAAAGGCATGAAAATTTTAAAGAGTTAGGCTTTCATCGTAAATGCAATTCAGCATTTACCAATAAACAATATCAAATCGTGCTAAAGTTGGAAGTCAAAAGCAGATAAAAATCGAAATTTTTGTCCGTATTAGTGAGCCAACTCAGTAGTAGCAGCGAATCCAGTGATCTTATTTCAAAGAAATATTTAGGATTGAATTTAGCGACGTCTGCAACAACTAGTAAAGCTAGACCAAAGAACAAGCACGTTATACCACCTGTTTGTATCATATTTAAAATGAAGGATTTATACTACAGTGATTCGGAATGATGACTTTCTTTTTTCTTATGAGTTTTCAAAACAAACATGAAAATTCCTTTGTTGTTTTACGGTAATAGATAAGTAGAAAGCAAAAATTAATAACCCTGTTTCAATAGAAAAAATTGATTGAGGTAATATACGCAAAGCAGCAGAGTTGAAATGTGACGAAAAACTTTGCCGCAGATCAAATGCAAAGGTTGTTTGCCGTAGAAATGAAGAGACCACGCTATAAAAAATATATTTCAATTTTTATTCATGGAAAGGAGGATCAAGAAGCAGTGACATAAAAAAGCACACTTCACTTTATTGCACATCCTTTGAATCCATCTGCGAGCAGTTTGTATAAACAAATATAATTCAGGAAGAAGGCGTTTTCTACATGAAAAGGTGAAAGACGTGTTTGTGAGCACTGTTGTAGAATATTAAAATGCAGATGCATCAAATTACAAAACTAGCCGGTTAAAACAACGGATGAAGTCACGGTTTGCCGAACTGGTTTTACATTCCACCCGATAAAAAATAAGACTGAAATTGTGTATTTAGATAATGTAAAAAACGTTATGCGTTTAAGAATCTTGCATATAGGGATGCTTTCTAAAGTTCATTAACTGAAAGTGATTGCAATGAAATTGGTGAATATAAAGCTAGGCCTGCGGACAAACGTGCCACAATAAAGGATTTTTATAATGTAGCATCGACCACTAGAACAGAAATACATGAGAAATCGAAAACAAGGTGAGCTGTAAATTATTACTACTTATAAAGAAGTATGATGGATGTGTATGTATCGTTAATATGAATAAAAACTAAAATCATTTACATCTGACGGTGGTACGAGACATGGTTTCTTGTTGCCACAGATTTGTCCAACAAAAGTGTTAAGAATTCAGTTTCACCAGCATTTTTCAGTTTAATTTCTTGGACGTTGTGATTTTCAGGTGAGCCCTTGCTTAAAATTATCTCCATGTTCGATAGAAGGAAGCCGTCCTGATTTCCGCCATTTGCCAAGATATGATAAATGCTTTAGCAAAGGAAGGACACAAATGCCAAAGGCACTATCTCTAGCTATGGCAGTGAGGCAGATAACAGGTTCTTATGGATTGATGAACATTCACACAAACTAAGGCAATGCGTTTGTTTGCCCTTAACAATAGCATATGAATCAGCGTTAGCTCAAATGACAATAAATACATCAAATATTGTTCTTAAGGAGTTGATTCCTGGATAAAATATCTGTGTTTTGTTTGCCAATATTGATTTTCAAGAGAAATCCTATCGAAAAACACATCATCTAAAGTATAACCAACCACTGACGTAGCCCTATACTCTATTGGCATAAAAAGAACACCGAATTTTGATCACTATGAATTGGATGTAGAGACAACGGAATCTTTCATCAAAATCAACGAAAGTGCAATAGCACAATAGTTAGATCTAATATATTAGTTTATCAGATTTTTAGTGCAAATAGTGAAGAGCCTTGGCCCGGTTGAACATGATTTAACACGATCCTGAAACTGTGCAGCATACCAGCAGTTTCGAGAATTGGGTATCATCCTACCATAAATGCCAAGTCTACACAATATTCTACACTGCATGAAGTATTACAGTCGGGTTTAAGAGTTCTGCTGTATCTTGCGACCAGACCCTAGAGCAGACGACAAGCCAGGACTCAAAAACTAAAGACGGTATTATCGGATTTTCGATAAATCATGCAGCTGTCCATAGATTGTAGCTTGCCCAAAGAGGGAGAGCAGCCATTACTAGTAGATGCAAAAATATGGCTGATGCGAAAGACAAACCAAATTTGCACAATTGCTCTTTTTTTAACTTTACTTACTCCAAGCGTTGTTGATTACATAACTGCAATGGCTATACGTTATGCAGTTTAATTCCCTTCACTTTAAATTATTACCACTAATAGATGTCGAATAGAATTTAAAAAGCCAAAATGCATTCACCATTCAAAATTTGTGTTTGTTTTGATGCGTACCGTAAGGCACATTATTAATCCATTCACCGTTAAATACGAGCAGTTAGTTAGTTTGGCAAGTGGATTTGCTCGCGATGATAATGCTGCTGACAGGCTTCTGGAGTCAGAGAAATACGGAGAAAAGCAGTTGGTGCAGTTTTTCTCGCGAGAATTTATTAACTGTGTTATTGAATTTATTTTTGTGTGTTAACATGGAAATCAATAAAGAGCAGTGAAACGTTGCGTCTGAAGCTTAAACAATTAGAGATACCATTCCTCAGCTTTTGCGAATGACTGTCCGTCCACGCATTGCTATAGGGTAGAAAAACATTGTTTCCATGCCACTACACACCTCTGCGCACACACTGGATAATGAAAGATAAACGTTTCCAACAGTCTTGGTGTGAGAGGTAAGATTGCTCGTTCTCTAGTATGGATAACAAGCGTTTATGTTGAAGTTTTAATAATTGTATCGTCCTAAGTGAACTATATGAACGTAAACGGATTACGTCAACATGTATTGTTTACAAGGTGATTGCCAATAGGTAGAAAAACCCTAGCAACAGACTGAAACGTGCGAGTTTCATTTGAAAGTTAAGAAAATAAAAACGTAAAACAAAAATTTTTGAATCACACAGTCAGTTTAACTTTCCTACTGGAAATTTCATATCGATATTATCAATTGTATAAGACAATTTTTACTGTTCAGTTTACATTATATATTTTTATAGTAATAAAATGTATCTCAAAATAATGTTTGTTGAACGACTACATTAATTCGAGATTGATCTATTAGACATAATAATAGAATAGACTATTTAGCGATCTCTGGTTGAAAGCAGTGACCGGGTAAACTCAATACTCTATTAAGAAACCGTAAACACCTTTTCAGCAAAAACAGTTATTTTTGCCATCAGATCAGTCGGAATTATAAAAATGGGAAATATTAATGTAGAAACTGTCACGAATCGCTTCTACACAATTCTTCTACAGTATAATTACTACGCAATACATTAAAAAAAGTTTTAGCAATTTTTACTACGGTCAAGTGTCTGGTTTGAAGTACTGTAGATTCACCACTGGTTTTAGAATATTTTTTGATATAGCGCTGCCAGCAATTCACTAACAAGCAAGATAATGGAACTGGAGCCTGCACATAAAAATTAGCGACAATTAAAGTTAAGAGTGGCCTTATGTTTAGTATACATTGTGCTATGAACAAATTTGGATGAATATGTTCTTTGCTGATTGTATTGAACAAGCAAGGAAACGTTTTACTTATAGGTGTCATAGTTAGCAATAATTTACGTCTAAAAACAAAAGTTAGGGCCTTTGCTTTCCCGGATGTTGCTAAAGTCGCTTTTTTAGTTAAACATGTAGGAATTTATAAGAAAAGTTCTAAAAATGTAAAGACGAAGGAAAACAATCTTCTTTTGGGCAAGAAAAGGATCGTAAGACTTTGGAATTTTCAACATGTTAAGTAAAAACTATTTAAATGTAAGTCAATGAGAAAAATACCTCAAACGAGACTTGATCGACTTTTTCAGATTGATTTAAAGCTTGATGAGTGTGAAGCATAGCAAGCCTGTGGAAAACTCCGGCACCATAATCCTCGAACAAAACAAGTCCTCCTTTATCAAATCTGATAGGGTTATAAAAATCTCCATTAACAGCGTTTGGATGAAAACTTGTCAGTTCTACATAGCTTCGTCCTAGTTTTCGTTTAGTCCAGCCACTAAAATCAAATTCCCAGGTAGATTGATCGCCAGAATTTTCCTTGAATATGTAACTGAATTCTAAAATAATTTGCCATATTAAATTGCCATATAAGTAAAGATTTGTTGATAAACAACAAATAACATATTTAAAAACTACAATATCTTAATCATGCACAAATAGTGATTGTAAACATAATTATATCATTCGTATCTAGGAATCAATAAATAAATAAAAAAATCCCTATTCGATAATGTCATAATAAAATGAGTTATTTGCTCATGAAAATCTAAGAAGAATTTCTTAATTAGTTATTGATAGCTACATACTCTTCAATTTTCCTGGAAAGTTTGGAACATTTTAACTTTACATATTTTATAGTGTGAACACCTTACTTGATGAAACTGAACAATTACAGTATTTATTTTCCCTTCAATTTACTGTTCTATTAGTCAGTTGCATGAAACACCATTTACTCATTATAATCGGTGTCCTAGTTGATTTTAATTTACATCAAGAACTCAAGTTATCTTTTTATTAACATATCATTACACATTTTTGTTTCTTTTGTGCCATCAGAATAGTTACATTAATATAGAATAATAATTGATTATTCTACTGCGAAGAAAATAAAAAGTGCTTTGAGTTTTCCACAAACTTATTAGACAAATTCCTTTTCTAAATTTCAATAGTTTTCTACTTATGATATCAAAGATTGCAATGATATAAACATAAAGGTGATCTAATTCCCTCTTGAACAAAAAAACTCGCTGCATTTACAACTTGGTAAGTTTGCGTAAAATTGATGTGGAATAAAGGCAAATGCATAGACGAACAAGGAAATCCGTCTAGAAAACAGAACCGACAGATTGTTCGAGAATGTAACATATAAACAGGATACCAGCTGAAAAGGTATGGTATTTTGTGATCCTATTTTATTGAAATTAAACAGACGCAGGACACGCATATCGTGTCAGTTTATTTCTTTCTTCCTTATGTGAGTAGGAACTTTTCAAAACGAAATAGTTATTACTGGCAATCGCAGATTATTGCGTTTGCTTATCTTTTAATAATATCATTGTTTACTGCATGAAGTTATATATGTTGTGAGCATAAGTGTTTATAAGAGAGCGTATTATTGCTGAGTTAGACTTACAGAAAAACGTTTGTTGTGTCACAGTCGCGTATCATCAACCGTATTTACAGTTGCGGTACGTATAACCCTAAGAGAAAATAATCTGCAGGTAGTTTTGGTATACAATTCAAGACACAAAAATACATATACTAGTCGAAGCACTACAGACTCAAATTAGTAATCGTGTATTCACTTTGTCTTTGGCGACAACGATTATATTCGTGCAAAAAAGGGGAATCGGAAGTTCTTACAACATATGCTCATGGATGTAACAAAGTTTTTTCTTGGAGGAGAGGGGGATAGGGAGGGGGGTTCTAAGTAAACTTGGGCAAAGTTTACAAAAAAGCATTTTGACAAAACGAATTATTTAAAATAAACGTAAGGTAAAAGTTGAGGTTTGTTTTAATATTCTTGAGGAATAAAGAAGAAATTTATTAGTTACTATCAACATTATATCGTCAGTAATTACGTTTTATTTTAATGAGCAAAGCCGACACTTTTTATTTCAAAGCAGCCCACGGTGTAATTACAACATGTATAGGTATTTTATCTGGTACATCTCTTTCAGAAAACATTAACATAAGCTTTTCCAGAATGTCATCAATTTCCGTTAACTAGAAACTTTTTTTTACACTTTTTAACTTACTGAAAGATTTTTTATCCTCTTAAACTTCATCCGGAAGAGCTAAAACTCAGCAATGAGCTCTGTTTGTAAACAGAAATATCAATTTAGTTTCCTCTGAGCTTTTGTTGACATTAGATTTATTTTATAAAGACACATTTTTTTATTCAAGGTGCAGGTTAAAGGTTTTTTATTTCAGACGTTAGACCAACAGGATTGTCCTAATAATGATGGAAACTTGACCAAAGCTTCAAAAGCCCAAAGCGCTCACTGTTCATTGTCAGGCTTTAAAATTTCGACTTGAGGCTTAATTGTGGCAACACATTTCTAAAGGTATCTGTATACGTGCTGATCTGCGTATTGAGGACGGCTTTGAATTCTTGGCGATAGAATCGAATCTGTACGTTGATCGCATCATAGTATTTGGAATTTTTATCTATTTTTACGTGGAATCTTTGGCAATGAATATCGTGGAAAATCGCTTTTAATATCTGTTCAAACTCTCTTTACAAACAATTAGATTCGATTCCTGCATTCAATGCATACAAACTCTAATCTACTTTTCATTGCCTGAAATGGCCGTTTTTATACAAGAAATGCACAATGCGTCTGTACGCATATAACACGTCACCTTTTTTATTCCTCTAGTATAAAAACGGAACGAATTATCTATCGAAGCATCAGACGAACAAAGTGATAGTTGCAAAAAAAATTATTAATTAAAACTTGGATGCTAATTTAAATTTAGTGGCAAATTTTGGCAAAAGTCTAAACTTTATTAATTTACAGCAATAAAAAGAACTTTATAAAAGCGCTTTTCAAGAGTATTAGAATTTTAAGAAGAAATTGCAATGTGCATTGCATTGTCCACGATAGCATTCGTAAAGGGAAACAGAAACAAGCTGCGACCGAATGAGCCAAGAATGAACAACTGGTAAACGAATGGGTTCCAAAACTGAGACCACAATTCATTGAAAAAAAGTTTTAAGCTCTCTCTACTGACATTTGATTATATTTTAGAGGTAATAGAAAAACGTATTCAGAAGGGACCAACACGTATAGTTCCCAGCCCATGCCTATTACAACTCAGATAGTACTATGTTTATATCGACTTGCTGTGGTAGTACTGCATTTATATTGACTCCCAATAAGTGTACTTTTTTGAATGTTGATGATCTCTCTGGTGTAGCTGAACCAACAGCTGGAAATATTTTTACGACGTTTGTACATCGATTGTGTGTGTTTATATGACATTTTTTTAACCTGCCAAGAAATATCGACGAATAGGATGAGGAACAGATAAACGTCTTTGAAACTTCCCTTTGATGCAGCATGGGTATGGTTTTCATATTTACATATGTACTAAACTTAAAAAAATTCTACAGATTTAAGAAAAAGTACTCAGTGAGAAAAAGAATGTTTTATAGGAAACAACAAACGCTTCATATTGGCGGCAGTAGGTTCTCCAGGATCAATAAAGGATTCAAGGCTGCTAAAAGACTATAGAATTTATACTTACAATAATAATGGACATGTATTTCCAAAAACTCTTTAATCCTTAGTTATTATGGAAAAATTACCTTTACAACTGTGGGCAACTCTGCCTTTTCAAGTCACCCTTGGCTTCCAAAGCCATACAAAGATTGCACAATGTTTCTAAGGCAAAGGTAATTTAAGAAAATGCTTTGTTCTGCAAGGTTTCTATCGAACATGCCTATGGCATGTTGAGAGGGAGGTGGGAAATTCTAAACAAAAAACAAGATGTCACTTGGAAAATTCTTATCACATCATTAGTGCTTTTCATAACATCTGTATATACAGGTTTGATCCATGCAATCGAAGATGGTGGCTTGCAATTCAAGAAATAAATCTTGTTCGAAAAGTAACTTCTGATGATGAATATTACAAGAAATACTTGCAAATTGGTTGTGGAATATGAAACAGAAAGGATATAGTTACTAACATAAAATAAAGAAATAAAGTAATAATAATTGCGCACGTTATAACATTTCCAAATGCAACACACTATTTGGTGATATAATTAAACATGTTAATATGCACTGACTGGTAAAAACTTGAAATTTGGTTTGTCTATTGCTTCCAAGTTCTCAGCCACCTGCTCTGGCCGTTGTAGTCAACACTTTGCTCTAGCAGTTTTTTTCGTTTTGCTTGAAAAGGTTAAACGGTAAGTATTTCGCGACAAAAGAAAATGTCAAATGACTGCGACAATTTAAAAGGCGATTGAATGGCTTTGTAATTGTTCAATAATAATCTAAACGTTTCACTGAAAGTCAAATGACTGTTTAATATAAGTATTTAATACAAACAATTTGAGCAAGCAATTTTGTACGAAATCGCCCTTTATAAGATGGCAGTATTTACTAAAAGGTAATGATCGTACATAATATGCACTTGCCTGCTATCAAAAATAATATTGTATATGTAAAAAGAAAATAGTTATCTTAAAGAAATTGTCGTTAAAGAGGAAAAACAAGGTAGACTTTGTTGTTGTAAAAAACATAAATTAAAACTATTTTGAAAATAACAGATACCATTGTGAATGATCAAAACAATCACGTAATATTTCTTAAAAAACTGTTTGTTACCAAACAGAATAGTTCTAAGGACTTATTCTTAAAGCTAAAAAAAGATGTATTTCGATGACTGCTAATAAATGAGAATAACATCACACGACACTTATACCGATAAATTAAAGTTTATGTCATCTCTAAATAGTGAGTTTGCACTTATATAAAAGAAAAAAAATCAAATATGTCAGTGGGCAGGATTAGTCGACTTAATTTGTACAAACTCCATGATTTGCACAACTGTAACTTCAAAAGACATTTAAAACTATATAAAACTATAGAGATTAGCATAATATAGGTTAGTAGACTGAATGTTATTCGAAAGATGTTTTTCATTCGCTGGAAGACAACAAATCAAATTTTAAATCGTACAATTATATAAAAGCTAACATATGCTGCTTTGTCCGAACACCAACACTTTGTGAGGTATAACCAAACTTTAGCAAAATATGTAATAGAAGTTATATTTGTAGAGAATCTGTAACTTTGCAGGATATTTCATTGGTAAATTTCAAAGCAACGTTTGAACGTTTTTGAGAAACAATCAAAATAGACAAATGATATATAAGTAACGAAGTTGCAACAAACATTAATAAATTAACGAATCTTCAATCTGCAATTTCTTTCCGAGCCATTTAATGAATAATGTCGTCTTAAAGTGATTAAAAGCACCACCAGCACTACAACTCAAGGAGCTCCCTTCCACATATAACTCTCGATACAATGCCAAATGAAGTACACCTTGATTTTCAGCAATCAGATGCTGTTTTACTTAGGTTTTAACTTAGCTAAATTTTGGAAGTAATGATGTAGTTAAAGTAGCTCTATATGTGATTTGTATGACTATGCTTCTTTAATGATTTACAGCTGGTGTTTATTTATATTTCATGTAATTAACTTATATGTACAAAACTTGTCTAATTGACCCAAATTTTGTGAGAACCCTTCCAACTAAATTTGTTTACAGATTGAAATTCGTGATGAATGTTTATGAAAGAAAAAAATTATGTTTTGCCCTATAAAGCGTTGATGTTGCACAAACGTAATTTCTAAGTTACAAAATGCCATAACACTGTAAAATGTTTGGCATAATCCACGTTTGTCAGAACTTTAAAAGATCTTGTTTGGAAAGCACAATCAAATGCTGATCTTAACTAAGTCAAAATACGTTGCTTGACAATGTTGAAAAAATGCAGAAAATTATCATTTTCTTTATTATAGATGAAAGCTTATTTTAAAACCTAAACATTTTGTGCTCGTACTCGCAATAAAGTTATAAAATAAGTCATGTTAGCTTCGTGAAAATCAATCCAAGCATTAATTCTATGATATCTGTCTGATACCTGTAACATTTATGGGTCCGTGAACGTCTTTTAACAATTTACGAATAAACTCGTCTTGGAATGCAATACCTGAAAAATATTTTTTAAGGTAGCACAAATAGGTAATAATAAAGTAATTTATAACGTTATGATAGGGTTGTTGGAAGCTGTGGTGGAGTCAGAACTGGGCTTTTAAGCTTTCTCTCGTTTTTCTCGAAAGAAATACAGCTATCTCTAACATGCATGGTCCCAAAATTTTAGTAAAATGAGAATATTTAACAAAAAGATAACATTTAACTGTTGTCTACACAGTCATAGATACCGTCTACCTTTAACTGTATAGACAACAATTAAGTGTGATCTATTTGTTTTATATAATAAAATTAAAAACATTCCCACATTAAACTGTCAAACAGTTTGTTTTCTTTGTTCCCCAACACTTGGAACATTGAAAAGTCTTGATTTTGCAAATATCACTCTTACGTGACTTATAGGCGAAGAAAATAAGCAAGCAATGGCTGATCAATTTTGTTGGAATTTTTTTATCGAAGATGAAGCACAAAGTAATGTTTGAAACCGAGTTTTTCTCTCTTTTTTTGCTCAAATACGTTAATTGCCTCAACTAGGTCATTGTTAATATCTTTATTTTCTCATTTAGGGAGGTATTGCGATAAATTTTCAAGTATATACGCCATTTGTTTGTTTTTATAAACATGAAGTTTACTGTGACGTCAATTCCGTGCGTACGTCCTCTTATTACTCATAGCTCTCAACCAATGAAATTATTCAAATGCTGACACTTTCGCTAGTAATCATAAATTTTAAATGTTGTATAAAATCCGTAGATTTATTTCTTTAAAGTCAAATTTATTTTTTAATCAAGGAAGAAATTTATCACGATTGTTCACGTCCAGCAGCACCTTGCATCAAAAAAGGATGTTTAAATTATACAAATTTCAGGACTCTGCATTTGAAAACAGTGGCGTGGTGGCAGGGGCAGGGCCCCCCTAGCTGTTGATTTTGGGGCGCGCTGAATTGAATACAAGTCGTCAAGTTTTAAAAATGGGCTATAAAAAATTAAAAACGCTTTTGAAACAGAACAGTTATTTTCGCAGTTATATATTCAGTGAATGAAGTTAATTTAGGGATTTAGGTAAGAAAAGAAGTAGACAGACCAAAATGAAACCTTGTAAGGGGGTCGATTAAAGAATAAGATATTGACGAGAATTCTATAATTAGATGTTTCGTTTGTGGCCACAACGCCTTCATGATTTGTCACGATGACTGTAGACAACATACATGCAGGGGAGAAACTAGAATGCTAATTGGGGGGGTGAATATTCATATATTCAGCTTTGCCCTGTTGATTTCTATTGAATTTAACATCGCCAACAAAAGAAATCAACAGCAAGGCAGAGCTGAATATATGAATATTTACACCACCCCCAATTAGCGTTCTAGTTTCGCCTATGCATACACGGCAAAATTGTCCTCTTAAGGGGCGCAACAACGCCTTAAATGTGTAATTTTTTGCCTATCTTAATCAATGTTTTTTGCTTCCCTCGCAGACAGTAATCGTTACTCGCCTTGTATCTTATTATTAATCCAAGCGAAATAATATATTTTTTAAAAATGACAGTAGTGTAGTCATCGGTAAATTGCTATCATAATGCATAGTCTAACATGAAGTAGCCCTTAATGATACCGCAGCATGTACTGCATTGTTTGTATTGTGTTATTTACATTTTCATCGTCACGACGATTCATTTGTCATTTTCAGTAGTAAAGAAAGCTTTATACGGTAAAACATTTTTAAATCACTTAAAGCTTCTTCGTAAATGTTCAAGATTCATTTATCCACAGTTATCGAATGTGCATAACAGCATATATTTAATTGAAATTAAGATATTTTTTAAACAACAACATTTGAAGACCAATTAAATTAATGTCTCAAAATGCAAAACTTTCGTTTCGAGCAGATGTAATACAGATGTAATTCACACAACAAACATTTCATTTGATAATTCCATTTGTTTTGGGAAGTGTATTTTAATATTATTTAATGTACATCATGGGTCATGGTGCAATGTTAAAGACTAACTGCAATGTCTAATTCTTTCAACACCACGAAGAGAACAAAGTCGGGTGCAGAGTATCGAATATTAAAGAAAGCTAGACAAGAGGAATTTTCAAAACTTGGGGGGGTTTGCTTGATTACTTTAAACCTATACAAAATGACCCACCATGCATTTTGTCACAAACAACAGAGGAGTTCGAATTAAAACTCAGGGAAACGCCGAACATCAGTGAAGACCTTAAACAAGTGCATGCGCAAGAAACATCTGAGTCGACAGATGTAAACGATCAAGATGAGTATACTTTCAAATCAATCAATAGCAATGATCCTGTTGGTGAATGCCCTGATATTGACAGCTTTGTCAATTCAAATGAACGTAAGGAAGCCGAAGGCATCTCAGAATCTGCTGAAAATGAATTGAATCGAAATATTTCTATTGATACGAAAGAAAACACGTTTGAACCTGGGACAGTTGTTGATCTTAATCTCAGCATTAGCGAAAAAAGGCGTTTACTTAAAATAAATCCATGCCAACCATCCCAGTTTATTTTGAAACAAAGCAGGGTAGTACAAGGAGATCACACACGCTATTGCTCTCAGCAGGTATTTTTCCACGATGATGGAACAAGACGAAAATGGATTTCCTATTCACTAAGTGAAGACAGCTTGTTTTGCATACCATGCATTCTGTTTACAGATGTAACGTCTAGGGGAGAAAATATTCGGTGAAATCAAGGAAAAGCTTTTGCAAACAATGGTTTCTCCAAATGGAAAAAGCAGTATATTAGATTTCTGGAGCATGAAAAATGCAATTCTCATCTAAACGCAAAAGTTGCAGAAGCTCTTTTCCTTCAAGAAAACTCAATATCGGATCAGTTTCATCACCAGGTGAGACACATTTTATAAAGTGCTAGATTCCTTTCAATCTTCAATGAAAAATCGTTTTGAAAAGAATAAACCACTAATGAAATCATTTGCTTTATTTGCACCCAATCAATTTGACGAGCTCTCGAGCAAGTACAAGACATCTTACGATCTTCAATCTGCATTGAAAGCCTTTTGTGATGTGTATAAGATAGATTCCCAAAGATGCGCTACTGAACTGTTAAGCTTTGGAGAAACATTTAAAAAATTTCACTGTTCTCAGTTTACAACTCAAAGTGACCATGATCATAATGAGCAGAACTTTGAAACTATTGATGATGGTGATGGTGATGATGATGATGATGAAAATCATTTTGATACTGACATAAGTAAGCATTCGAATAATGCGTTAATTACTGAGAACGCTAAAACTCCGTCATTCTTAGATGCCTTGAAGCTGCTTTGTTTTCCAAAGTACCATTTAGTTGACGCATACCCAACATTATGCAAAGTTTATTCAATTGCAGTTCAGCAACTGCTGAACGTTCTTTTTCTTCTCTGAAGAGAGCAAAAACGAGGATTTGATCTACAATGGTACAGGAACGCCTGGAATCATTGCTTTTAATGGAAGTTGAAAGGGAAACTCTCCACTCTATCGACAAAGATAGAATCATAACTTTAATTGGGAAAACCTCCCCAACGCTTGCAAAGGCATTAATATAAATATATTTTTCTATGAAAAACAAATAACGTAACAGACATGTAATTGCTTGATGATACTTGGTTTTTAAGTTACTTTCCTTTTTATGAAGATTCATGTTTGTGTTTTATAAAATAAAATAACTAAAATAGTTAAAAATAGCTATAAGAAAAGGTGAAAGGGGCGCGAAATTTGTGTTGGCCACCGCAGTAAAAACTATGCCACCACGCCACTGTTTGAAAATAGTCATTTTTTCTCGACGGTTTCAATAGAGTATTAAAAAAAACGAGTAAAAAAATCATGAGAGAAACGTGAGATCAACTGGCAAGCACAATCATTACGGATTTCATAGCATGATATCTTTCATTTTAAATACTGAATTATTGTCTATGCGAATTATAGCTAATTTGATTCAATCGTATGAAACGATTTTTACTTCGTTTTTTCGGTAAAAATTTATTTCAATTTCAATTGTTACTTAAATATTGTGCTACGTTTAATTTCAAATATTGATTTTGTATCAAAATTTATGAACAACAACAAACATTAAAACTTTCGTGAGGTCCAAGGTTATCATTGTCAAAATATCATCCCAAGGAAAGTCCTTTGCTCAAAGCCACATGAGTGACACTATCAGTGACATTTTGTAAATTTTATATCCACTTAAATGCGACATGCGCTCGATTAGCCTTTTTTTATTAATCAGAGACCTGTATAAGAGTATACATGCATTTGATTTACCAGAAGTAATTCCAGGTGTTCTTTGTAAAATAATCACCAAGAGAAACATGGCACGTGTGCCATTTAAACCCTAGTGCAAAAGAGGAAAGCAATTTGGGCTAATTCCATGGTAACATATGATACATCAAGAATAGCAAACCTTTTCCATATTTAATTTCATTGGTTCAATCTTTATTTGAGGTTTACTATTTCGTGCTTGGAAATTGATCATGGTCCATCGTACGAAGTTCTTTACGTTTTTGGGCATGTACTCCGACTCTGTAACTACAGGTTTTACAGAACTTTAAGCTTGATAGCAAACGATATTATTATCCTGGAATCATTGTTATCGATTTATTGGATAAGATATTCTTTGAATCATAGTAAACATATATTTATTGTCCTGAGACATTTGTACATGTGTTCAAGATTTTTAACAATTTAATGGTTATGAGTTGCCCTCTACTTTGATTCACGCGTGACAGTTTTTATTCTGTTGTATCACAAACATTTCTTGCTCTGCCGAAAGTGACAGAATTTCTTAGTCATTGAAATATGCAAGATTTGTAAGATTTTGTGTTTGAAGGGGCTTAGCACCCTTCTTAAAATTTTATGCCTTGTCTTGCTAGTGAAATATGCACAGCAGAAAGCCAGCAACAGTTTAATATATATCGGAAAGCTATCAACACATCAAAGAGGTGTTGCAAGCTTTCCGATATTTTCCATGGTTAAAATTATGCAAATATGCCTCTGTGATTATATAGACCAACACCTACTGATAAATCTCCAATGAAAGAGATTTTATTGTAAGTAAAACAGCATTAACGCAAAATTTTGCACTGGTATTTAGCACAAAACTATACTCTACTCGAGTCCGTTGAGAGTGTCTTGTATCCAAATTAGTTCAGCGCAGCAATCGCCATACGCAATCAACTTTTGTAATTTCAATTTAAAGGAATTTCTTTTATTTTTTTGAAATCCCAAACTCTGGCGATACTTATAATGACGTTTAGTTGCCGTAAATGATCAATTATTACACACTTATACATTACAAAACGCAACATCATCTCGAAATAAGCAGTATACAAAGCGTCGTTTCTAGCACACTTAGAGTTTAAGAAGGAGTATACACAAATCTAAGCGCCCCAGCGCTAGTTCGCGCACATATTAAGCATATAGTAAGCACATACTAAGCATCTAGTAAGGATATAGTAAGCACATAGTAAGCATCTAGTAAGCCAATAGTGTAATTATGCTAGCGTAATTACAAGAAGCACAAACCACAAGACAGCGAAGGTCAAACCCTGGACAACGGAAGGAGCCGAAGACAGCCGGCCGTCCGGGGTCTATTTCTTCTGATGTGATAATTAGTTAGTTAGTACTTGTCGAAAAGGTTCCCCTCGAGGACCCAGTCGCACTTGCAAAGGTGGGCATCTACTCGCTCCCTCGCAAGAACAACTTGCCGTTGCAGTTCTCGGGAGCAGCCCGGAGGAAGCGGTGAGGCCACCCCCTAGATCACATCAGCTCCTAAACTAACTTTTCTCGCTGTCCAGGCGACTCGACATGCTAACATAGCCATTCCAAATCCCCGCTGCTTTCGTCACACAAGTTGCAAACAAATTTTATAGTTTTGACAGCCAACCACGCACGTTTATGCCGCCGACCATTGAAATGCTTGTCTAGATTGATGACGCTAGATTGATGACGCACTAATTTTCCCTCGCCAACAAAAGTGATGTTCACCGCAGTGATTTATTATGATCACAGCCTCGGGCTGTAGCCCCGCCGTGGGTGGGTGATGAAAACTCTCACACCAAGATGATGCAACATTGTCAATGGCGCACAAAGTTTATGTCTAGCGTGAATCGCCATCGGACACTTGACGCTGGACTTTTCTTAGAGCGTCCATACGCATGAGATGAATGCCCTCCTCACGCCCGCTCGCACGTGCAGCGCCAGCTTTGCTACTAGCTCTCGCGTCTGTTCGCGGAGAGCTCTCTTTGTTTGGCTTCTAATTTCGTCTTTGAACGAAACGAAGCACTCTGCTTCGCAAAAACGAGCTGGTACTCACTTTTGCTGAAGTTGCCATTTCGAGACGCTGGCTCGTGATCTGCGAGATTGTTCGGAGCACGGTCTCGGCGGACGTCCAAATGCGATCGTGATTTTCAGCTTTCTTGTCGAATCTGTGGCTCACGACCCGACCAGCGAAAGTGGCCATGCAGAAAACAACTGCTAGCTCTTCCATCGCGAACCCAACAGGAGTTAAGACCATGGTAATGGATACGGCCACGCCGCTAACAGCGTTGCCAATACTAATAGCATGCAGGACATTGCCTGCGCCATGTAACCAGTTCACGGCTCTTTTGTACTTTTTGTAGAGCGTTTGGCGGGCTTCCATTTCCATGTGCAAGCGACCTTCGATCTCTGACATCTTCTGTAATTGCTACGTATTTCCATCACCACTCGCAGTAGGCAGCGTAGGATAGAGAGACACCGTCGACACTGGAGGTAAAGAAGGCGGCGTAGAGGGCTCACACGAGGTCATACTGCTCCAATAGCAACATCACTATAAAACCAACGGTAGCGTCTGTTGAAGAAAACCTAATAACAGCCCCCGCGTCAATCTCTAATACAAGGTCCAAAACTGTGTAGGCTGAAACCTGCCTGCGTGGCTTGCGTACCTGGAAAGTTGTCTTCTCGACATCTTTCACCTTCAGCCGGACTGTTGCAACATCGTTTACAGCAGCCGCGATCCCTATGCGAAACACTTCACTCGAGCTGAGAACTGGTCCAAGCAGAGACCATCATCTGGCCACCCTCTCCGCCTGCAGAGTAATACGCTTAGGATGGAGTCCATTCTCCTTGCATCTCCATCGGAATGACGATACTCAACCCGCTTGGCGGCCTGATCTTGGGTGAGAACTGTCTCCAGCTGCGTACGGGTGGGGCGGTCAAAAGCCTATTCCCATACAGAGATTGAGCTCGGTGGATCTTGCTCGGCATCGTATTGGTAGCGGAAACGCGTTAAATTCGTCACAGGAGGTTTCCTTGCTGGAGCCAAATTTCGACTGCTTGGGTCATACACAACTCTAACGCCATGCTGATGATATGTATCAGGGGAACTTAAAATAGTACACCCTATAGGTACGTCTCCAATTGTATCCGTACGTCCCCGGTTGTCCAAGACTTACCGCGAACCTCGGCATAGCGAGTGAGAAGAGAGTTGCCGTCACCCCCCAGAAGGCATTATATCTCCAACCCCAAGCCTTTCGCAGTTTGCCACTGCTGTTATGATACCACTTGTTTCCAGCCGCTCAATCCAGAGACTCTGAATCTGTATCTTGCCATTTTTCAGATTCGCACCCTTCCCAAACCGTGCCACCACAATGTCCTGTCGTATGTGATCAGGCAGCGTTCCTGTAGCAATTTTCAGTAAACCACCCAAACTGTCATCAATGCCATGGAGGTCGAGCTTGTTTACCTTCAGCTGCGCAACAGTACGAGAGAGAGTGCCCTCGGTATCCTCATTCCAAATATGTGTTTTGTTTTGCACCACATCATCCTGCAAACAAGCAAGCTGCTCCTCCTGATCACTGATCACCGAAGCCGCCACCGTCTTCTCCCTAGTAGTCGTCCAAAATGCCATGTCCATGAAATATTCGAACAAGGGCCTCGAGCGTTCAATATAGCAAGGCACTTACTAATGAGTGCGGCTTCCGTTAAAGAGGAGCGCATTACTAAAGGCAGCATTGCTAGTCATCTTGCCTCTGACGCCTCCAGGCATGAATTGGCGATGATAATTTATAAGATTGCTCTAGGGTGTTTTGGAGTAGGTCTCAAGCAAGGCCACCAAATCACCGAACTTCTGCCCTGACCCCGGTACCGCAAGAGCATGCTGTTTGATCTCCTGCAACTTCTGCCTTGCCAGGCGAAACTGGGGATGGCCAAAGTCGACTACGGCGTTAGCGACCACCTCAAAGGGATACCTGCAGAGAAACTGTTGGTTTACGTTGTTCACATACACGCGATTGTCGGCCATGATGGCAAGACGCATATACTGATCTGCCTGAGGCTGCCTGGGATTTACTTCAAACCCTCGAGGGTTTTCCGTAAACAATTTCACTAGCTGCACACGCGGAGTGAAATAGTTGCTTTTGAGAAAGACCTCGGGAATCTTCAGGCCCATCAGAAAGCGGCCAAAGACGAGCAGCAGCAAGCGATCGTACTCCCCCTCTTTCCGAGTCTGGAGAGATGGCGTGGTTGTAATGACGGCCAGGAGTCGCGAGATTAGCCTGTATCTTTGGAATAGTTCGACAACCTGGATTTGACCGCGTTCAGGACTAATTCTTCATTAAGAAGCTCAGGGTGGCCCTTGAACAAGGCATATAGCCCTTTTCCGCTTGGGTGTATTTTTAAGCTCCAGCAAGCTCAACTTAGCAAGGGGATGGTTTGGTATATACTGCAATGCTTTGCCCAGGTAAGAGATGAAATGCCTGTGTTGATTTGGTGCTACAGCGCCCTTTGCTCGGGCCCCTTTGGGGAGATAACACAAGGGAATTAGCGGCTGTGATAATGTGCTCGGGTTGGTTCTCGATAAAGTGGATGACCCCCTGCCGCCGCGCATTTGGGATGAGGAAGGACAACAGATAACCATCCGCCACCTACTGAAATCGCTGTGGGAGATTATAGACGATCCGGACTCGAATATGTTCCTATTTCTTCAAACATGCGCTTAAAAGTCTGGTGATATCCCTCCTGAACTTCTTTCTCTAATTCTTGTTCAGATTATTCTGGTAATGACGGATAAACCAAAGCTTTCACTGAAAGTCCACTTCAATAGATTTTTCGTCGCAATAATAGGCTAATCACTGATTGGTGCAGTCCATAGCGAGAATTGGGCGCTCGCAGTGGGTCAAGACTTTGTGGAACAGTTTGAAGATGAGAGCCGGTTTATTGCCCATGCCGCCGAAGAGCGTATTTAAAAAAAAGCTTCACGTTCGACTTATCCGTGAATCGGAAGAGATATAGAAAGCTTGCATTAATCTTTATGTCCTTTATGATGTCGAAGCTTTGGGAGAAGAAGAAGACGTTCAACTTCAGATGATGGCTTTACATCGTAAAGAACTCAATGAGGCATTCCTCTGCGTTCCGCATTTGAGATTCATGACGCGGATGTCGTCGATGATGACGTAAGACTCCGGTTCTATACTCGTATCCTCGACCGATTCAGGCATGACGGAATAATGCTTCAAGACTGTGTTAGGTTAAATAAATTGATTAGTGGAGGTGTTCGAAATGACTTACACCCTTTTCGGCCGAACGTTAATAAGCAGCCGTTTCATGAAGAAGCTCTTTTCCATATTGCTTTCGGAAGGGTGGACATGTTGCCATTAAGAATGCCCTCGCCGAAGATACTTTCAACGACGTTGTCCCCCAGCAAGCCGTGAACACCGAGGGCGAAGGGGATAGAG